TAGGCAGTCATTTCCCATTTTGTATGTGTGCAACTGATTGTTCCTTCCTAAGTGGAGTACTTTGCATTTGTCCTTGTTGAATTTCATCCTATTTACTTCAGACCATTTCTCCAGTTTGTCCAGATCATTTTGAATTTTAATCCTATCCTATCCCCAAAGCACTTGCAATCCCTCGCAGCTTGGTATCATCCCTTTCCGTTGGTGTCCTGGTCTATGGTGAGCTTGCATCTGGTGAGCTTGGAGAGATTGGGAGGGTGGGGGGTGTTGTGTTTGAAGGCAAGAAATGCAGGTTCAGGAAAGATTTTTTTCCAGTATTGGTTGTAGCTGTTTGAGGATACCCTGTAGGGGTTCCAGTGCAGAGTGATAGGTGACAATTGGAGGTGTGCAGTCAAAGGAGGTTTTATTTCTATATTGAAGCAGGTTCTCCCTGGGTATTTGGGTGACCCGTTCCATGATGCTATCTACTTCTCCGGTGGAGGCTCCTTGTTTGGTGAAGAACAACAGAAATTGGTCCGATAAAAGATATTACCTCATCCACCTTGTCTCTAATATCCTGGGACCGGCATGGCTACGACTACAATGCATACAATAATGGGCCTAGAGTTGCACTCATCATTATTTCACTTTCCTTTAAAAACCAGCCTCCTTGCAAGTAACCTGACACGACTGAACATCTAATCCTAACGCAATAACTGCACCAGAACTGAATTACAAACTTCAAAGCAATATGTGTTACAAAAAAAGTCAAAGAAATAAAGCACTTTCTATTTTGTAATATAACAAAACCAAAAACTTTTCAAGCTAACCAGATTACATGGTGCAGCCAAAGGTACCTCAGGGAGTGATCTCAACACTCCCCTGGGTCAGGCCTGGCCACTATTTGGATGGGAGATCACCAAGGAAAAACAGGCGCTGCAGGAAGTGCTGGCAGTTCATTGGGGATTACTCTTCCTTCTTTCACAGCTGAAATAATGCCCCATCTTGCTGCTGTACTTCTGCAGATACCATCTTTAAGATACTATGCAAGTGTCAAATCTTCAAGAAGTGCAGTTTACCCTCGACAGAAACGCTAGGATCAATATTGTCTTCACCTTGGTCACCTGCTCCCAAGTTGTCATCTCTTGTTTTTGTTCTAATGTAGGCCCCCATCCTACTTTCATGGATAAAATTATACATGTGCTTAACTGTTTGTGGGATTGGGTCCCTAGACTCAGTGCTTTAGGGGTAAGGATTCAGGCCAGAATTTTCAAATATTCTGTTTGTAAACAAAGTCTAGTGTCTTGGGTTGAAAAAACTGGTTTGACTGAAAAACATGGCTATCTAAAACCTCATGTTGATTTCCTGAAGCCTACAGGCGTGCACGAAGATGCACTCTCCCCACATACCATTTACTGAGGGCACATTTTTCAATATGAGGAACTTCCAGCTCGACTTGTAAAGCGTGCAAAACCCATAAACTATGTAAGCTAAACAGCTCCTGATTCTTCTTCCCCCCCACCACCACTTTTTCAAAAGAACACAAACAAGGAAATTGAATTTTAAAACTGTACTAAAGCAAGACTAACTTTGTACCATTAAAATAACAAGTTAAGAAATTAACATTCCAGCAGCAAACTAGGTAGTGTTTTCTATTCCTGTGTCTTAGTATTGGAACTCCACAGAGTTAAGAAATACCAATTTTTATATATGTAACCTTAAAAATGCACTTAATTTTTGCATTAAATATGCCAGTTTTGGGCTACATTAAGCACAGACATGTCACTACATTTTAAAGGTTTTTTTTTCCTATTCTGAATATTCATGATAGCTTACATCTAATATAAAAAAACAACAAGGAGTCTGGTGGCACCTTAAAGACTAACAGATTTATTTGGGCATAAG